AAACACTTCAGAAGAATATACAGCTAATAATAATTCAGATATCAACACACAAGAGACAAATCTAAAAAAATACAAAGTATGTGCAGTTGTATAAACAATTGTTCAGTATTTCACAGAGGTTTATTCCAAGCAATATAGTCACAGAAACGTCCTAGTTAACAAGGATATATGTAATTTTTTACAGTATGCAATATAAGTCATAAAGAACAAATGCAGAGGATTAGCATCTAGATCTTTGACTCAAAATCAAGACAACCCTCAGATTCCAGACAAATCGTAGGGTTTCTGGACAAAGATATTGCCAAGAAAAGTCTCGGATCTAACGATTTAAACAAATTTGCAAGGGGCTTTAAAGTATAAACAATAAATCTTTACTTTAAATTGTAAAACAGGAACGAACTCACTAGATCCATTTATTAGGGTTTCAAGAAATAAAATGAACAACTGAATCAAGTGTCAAACTTTCAAATCTACACAGATCGGAGCTAAGAACCATAGTCTAACGCTCTGATACTACTATTATGACAAAGTTCAAAAATTATTAGTCACTTTTAATCAACAAACTGAAAGCAGTAAAGCGAGAATTGAAAGTAAATGTAAAGAGAACAATGATTTTCACCCTAAGACAAGAGGTTCAGAACCGAAGTTCCTAATCCCTTTTTGAGCTTTCGTCGCCGAAAGAAATCACTGTAAACCGGAATCAATAAACTGTCCAAAATACACTTTCAAAAGGCACTCAAAATAATCACTCAAGATTTCATCAACACTAGCCTTTCAATCTATACAAAATGTTCACTCAAGGACACAATTCTCAACACACATATAAACCACTCAAGATTTATACAAGTTGATACAACCAGATCATAAATGAGTACGACTATCTGCCTTTTGAGTGAAAGAGAGGAGAACAGAGACGAGCATAGAGAGAGAGAATGAATGAATAAATCCATCTCAAACCCTAGGCAAATGAACAGATAATAGAAGTCACTCGAAGTTCTCTATCCAAAGATAATTGGGGCAACACTTGGCGACATCTGGGCTGTCCAAATCCAATAAAGGAAATCACGTTTCACCAAAAAACACGCTTCCTTCAAATAAGGCAGCAGTCACCAAGTAATCAAAAAATCCGGCCCACAGCCCACTTAAGGTCAGCAAATCAGCCCAACAAATAATAACCAAATCAGCAAAAGCATGTTCATCATTGTGCCAATCTCCACAGAGGAGACATGAACCAACATCCAGATAGATTTTGGAAGACAATTATAAACAGGTAAAACCGTTGTATAGTCATTCACGATCCGAAAAGAAGATGCAAGGGAGAAAAGAGACATCTTATGGTCAAAGTTCAGAAGGAACGGAGGGATGTAATGAGACAATTCTGCAGTTATTGATTGAAATCCATTGACAAGTTGTGTGTGGAATTCCTGATCTTCCTCCCCGATTAACCTAAATTGCACATTGATGGCACGCTTAGAAACATGCATAAATTCAGGTAGAGCAGCAGTCAATTGTTGCAGCTCCTCCGACCTCAACCTTGTTGCAGACTCTCCAAAGAGAAACGCTGTACAAACACTAAGCACTCCACTGTTCACCTGTAAATGTATCAAGTGCATGAGGAACAGAGAAGAGATGAAAATAACTATCTGATTAACGGCAATAAAAGAGAGAGGGCATTGGGATTAAAGGAATCCAGGAAAGAATCTTACTGAAGCTAAACAGCATAAAAAATCATTGACAAGCAAAAGTTACGACGAAGATCACAATAACTCACTTGAGCTGCAACAGAACCTCAAAGTATCCTTCGTAAATTCTGGAAACGTGGGAGTTCATTTCTTAGGGCTGTTGTTCGTGTTTCAAATGGCCTTATTAACTCTATTGCAAAATTAAAACATCCATAAAATATGCACATCCCACACTATCTCGTGCAAAATGCAACTTCTTCCTTACAATCAATCATGTATTAAAATAATAATCTCTTTCCTATATCAGAGTGGAAGACATCTATTTACGTTTCAAGTCCTTACCATTACAGTCCCGTACAACCTAAAAGAAGGAAAATTGAGAGGGAGGGAGGGAGAGAGGACATAAGAGTCTCATTCCAGATAAAGTTATCAACTTGGTAATTCTGAAACTCACAAAGTCCGACACTTGCATAAATGTGAAATAAGAAATAAAAACCCAAAAGCATTTTAGCACAATTTATTTGCTTTTTGAGAGATCTATATAAGAGCGCATGATAAGTGTATCCAGACCGTTAGATGAAATTAATTGTAATAACTTTTGATTACTTAAGACTTAATTAGAGGTTAATTTTGTTTTTTTGGGTAAAACTCGAGGCAAATTGGTGAAATTGGAAGAAATAAACGAAAAAGGGGCAAAATGAAAGAAATTCAAAGTTTGGGATCAAATTACAAATATCCAATAGTTGATTCGGACCAAAAAACAATAATTTAAGTTTGTTAGAAGTCAATTGGATGCAATTAAAAGTTAAAAAGGAGTGAAATATAGTCAAATATTTTCACAAATCAATTTCCAACTGCACAGAGTATGCTCCAGATTGTAAGTTTGAGATTGAGACCCAATTTTCGGATAGCAAATATTCAAATTGAAGAAATTCTATTTCTAGAAGAATTATAGCTTTCTGAGTTAGCTTTTCAAAAAAATTTGAATCATCTCAATCGAATATTTGGAGAGAAATTTATGACCAAAATACTGACTAGTGTGCATATACATAATTATGCACACACGAAGACAACTTTTCTTATTTGATTGAAATTCTTGTGGAACTCGACTTCGACGTATTTTTTGACATTATTTCACCTTATATTATAAAAGACATGGGCAACCATTGAGAAAACCCTCTCTTACATCTTCATACACAATGATATCATCAAATTTATCAAGGGGTCATTGCTATATTTTGAGAGAATGTTAAGCACTAACAAGGAATTAAAGGTCAATTACATCAAGATTTTGAAAATTCAACATTGACTTAAAGATCAATATCTTCTGAATTATTTCATATTTCGGTGATATTTTCTTATTATTCTTCTTGTAATTTATATATTAATATGCTAGACTAGATCTGTTTTTATATTAGATGAAAATGAAGCCTATTATTTATCTATTTTAATTCAAGACAAGTAATTTAGTTTATTTCTTATGTTTCTTAATTAATTTTGTATATCCATTGCATTATTTAATTGTTTGATCACCAAATACATAATTAATTGTTTGTTGTAGTGTTGGAAGACTTGCAAAAAATTTAGAATGCGGCAAAATTAATATATGTACAAAAATATTAAGAATAATATTTATCACATATACAATCATTTAGATAATTTAAAATGTAATGCATTCTAATAATTCGAATTCAGACTAAGAATACATTCGGGTCATGATTAGAACAAATTTAATTTCTTTTGGAAAAGAAAATTATATATCATAGATTTATTAATTGTCAAGAACGCATGAATGAAACTAAATTACAAATCAAGAATTGAAATAGATGGCAATAAGCGGATTTGAAATCCAATACAATCATCATAATTTGATACAAACCCTAATTTTACGGCATTCTTAGATTAATTTAGAATAATCATAAAAATCAAATCTTTTTTGTTTAAATAATTCGAATTCCATAAAAAATTAGTATACCAGAATTGAAATTTATTTCCTGTGAGACGATACTCTCAACTCACTGAATCTATTACTTGTCAACAATCCCATACGCTTGCGAATTTAGCACGAACATCACACGCGGAGCCTAAACTTCACAATTAAATGCACAAAGAAAATATTAGTCTGTGTTCTTGACAGAAGCCGTGACTTCTTGCCTGATGACTGTTAGGTCATGGACATCTCAGTTACTAAGAAAATTTTCAGAACGGCACCCAATATTCATAGAAATTCAAGATTAAGGATTTTGAGTATTGAGCAGTCATTGGGAGTGATAATAATTTTTTGGATAATTTGTTGGACATGCTTGAGCAAGTTTGAGAATGTTACTACATGAATAATTTAATCTATTTGTTAAATGTTGGTTTTATATTTCGTGTGTTAACTGCGAACTAAAATAAGTATCATGTTGTGATACCACTTCAATTAAAAGTATCACATTATTATTTCATTTGATGTGCTTGGATAAGTATAAAGATGTAATTATGAGAACAATTTAAACTAATCGTTAGTTGCTTCTTTTCAATTTTCAATATCGTTATATTAATTTGTGAAATAATATTTTTGAATCGACGAGTATCGAGTAGTGTTACTTCTTAACTTCAAAAGTATCATAATATAGATTCTTGAATTATTTCATTTTGACATGCTTGGCTAAACTTCAAGATATAATCAAATTGTCAGTGGACAAACTATATTATCCCACAAAAATTGAAGGATAATAAGAATTGAATAAAAAAAGCTTCTTAATAATTTAAATTAAAATGGAAAACCAATTTACAATCTCTTTAACAGTATTTCAGCTAATATGATTTAATCAAATGTTATCATGAACAAATAAGAACTGAATTGCTTCAATTTAATATTAGTAAAATGATGGTTTTTTATGTTAATTATAACTTGCAAATTAAATCAGACAAATACAATACTATGTTGTCAAGTTCCAATTACAATTATGCAGCTAATTAATTAATAATAAGTCAATATAGTGTGTGTGTGTGTGTGTGTGTGTGTCACTTTCAGATACTTTAACAATAAACCGTTAAAAGTGAGATGTTGGCAGGGTAACAAATTTTGAAAAGCTCACATAATGTGTTGAATTTGAGGGGTTCCACAGTTACATAGCACTGCCACTCCCAACTGGTAAATAGCACATAGGAAATATAACATTAGCTTTCAATTCAAACCAAAGAATCCGAGACATATGAACACCCACCCACCAGATAGTTTTTGAAAGACAATTATAAACAGATAAAACCGTTCTACAGTACCCAAAATAAAAACTACAAAAAGAAAATGCATAGGAAAAAGCCATCTTATGATCAAAGTTCGGAAAGAATGGCAGGGATGTAATGAGACAATTCTGCAGTTAGTGACTGAAATCCATTGACAAGCTGTGTGTGGAATTCTTGATCTTCCTCACCAATTAATCTGAAGTGCACACGGATTGCACGCTTACAAACAGCCATAAATTCAAGAAGAGCAGCGATCAGTTGTTGCAGCTCCTGTGACCGCAACCTTGTTGCAGGCTCGCCAGACAGGAAAGCTGTACAAACACTAAGCACTCCACTGTTCACCTGTAAATGTATACATTGTATGAGGAACAGAGGAGATGAAAATAACTATCTGATTTAACAACAATAAAGAATAGAGGACATCTGGATTAAAGGAATTCAGAAAAGAATTTAACTGAAGCTAAACAGCATCAAAAATCGACACACAAGTTACGAAGAAGATCACAATAACTCACTTGAACTGCAACAGAGCCTTGAAGTATCCTCTGTAAGCTCTGGAGACGTGGGAGTTGATCCCCTTCTGAGCTACGAGGCTCTTCAAGTTCATTTCTTAGGGCAGCTGTTCGTGTTTCAATCATCCCAATTGCATTCTCTACTGGCGAAAACTCCAGTGATTCTGATTTGATAACCAGTAGACGATTCACTAGGGCAGGGAAAGAACCCTCAGTCTTTAATACGCTGCGCCGCTTCCATTGGTCTTCCAGCCCACCTTGGGTCTTCCCATTTTTAGTGAAAGGAGTATCAAACAAAAAGCGATCAAAGACCCGTGCACGGACACTTCCAGTAGAGAGTGAGAATATTCTTTCCCTTCTGCTTCCCAGATCCTCATCTTCCATAACTGGATCAACTGCAGTTATCTGAAGGTAGCAAACTTCATTCTGCAGTTCATCAGCTTTGACCTGCCTAGAATCTGGGATTACGTGTAATGTTGTACCATTCATTCTTGATTCATATATACGACTAAGTTTCTCCATTATATCACCTAACCGTACATCACGAGGCTCCCTATAAACATATTCTTTTCTATCGAGCTTCCCGAATTTTTCGCCGTAGAACCCAACCCTATAATATGTTGCATCTGTGTATGGTATGGGGCTTGATTCCTGCTCTAGAATTGACTCATAGATATTGGTTAGCATTGTGTGGCATTTGGCTAGCTGTCCATATGACCTTCTGCTCTTATAAACTGGGATTACAAGTTCGAGAATACTCGCACAGAAATGGTGGAGCTCAGCTTGAGAGAAAAGCTTATTTGCAAGTTGCAGGTACTTCACAGCCGAGTCAACAGTAAGTTTTGAAGCACCGTATCCTTCTACCTCAACTGACGAGGCCTCAGAAGTTATTTCACCGCTGACTATGGGGCATATTTTGCATAATGCAGTCACGTGATCTGATCTCCACACTCCATCATTCCTACTCACAAGGGCCTACAAAAAATGGTCCACGTTCACATAAGCATGCAACTTCACATGCACACAAGCACCTTGATAAAGAACATCATTTTTTCCATTTGTTTATTATGCTATATTTTCAATATAAAAATACTATCTGCACCTATTTTCTAGCAATAGAACTAGGGTCAGGTATAAATTAATCATGGCATCACATGACTTCATCCACCTAATTGGCCTCGTTATTATTGTAAAACTAAAACGTTCACAAAATATGCACCCCTCACATTATATCATGTAAAATGTAAATTCTTCCATTACAAAATGTATTAACATGATAATCTCTTTCCAACATTTGTGTTGGAAAACATCTATGTATAGGTTTCATGTCCTCTGTTCATAACTTAAAAGGCACACGTTTGTATGATAAATTTTTTTAAGGTCAAAAGTGTTTCTAATGAACACACAAAAACAGTTAATTATCACTGCACGCGATGATGTTATCAAGCGTGCGAATCAAGGTCAATATCATTATATTCCAACACCAATATGCGAACAACATCACAATCAAGCGTGCAAATTTAGGCCACATGAAGTTTGATATACGGCATTTCCATGAATAATGTCAAATCATGTCACCCCTACAGGATAAAAGCTAGGGCGCATTTATTGTATTACAAGAGTTCTTTAATAACAAGCTTTTTAAACAAAAAGCCTTCAAGTTGAACCTTAAATTTCATGGAAAATTACTGATTATGAGGATGCGTGCTCAAACTGGAATTAAAGGGCTGAGAACAAGGACAGCTTGACAGCAAGTAGCAACCATCCAAGAAAATACAAATTAAATTAAATCTTACTTGCATCACAACACCAGCAACAGCAACAGCACACTGTGCTGCTTCAGCCCAAGACTGCATCTCCTGATGTGCATCACATAGATGCAATAACCACATTATGTGAAGATCTGGAACTGGAGCAAATGCCATTGCAAGTTTGTAAAAACTCTCTGCAGCAGCATATCTGTCCACGGTCATGATGGATGCCTAAAAAAATTCAACATGTCATATTAGTCAACATAAGAAGTCATTCAACATGTCTGTACAGTGAGTGGGGAGGTCAAGATATACCAAAAGTGCGTGTTCCAGACTAGCATCAAGAGCCAATAGAAGACTGTCTGAGAGAGACTTTACTTCTGACCAGGACCAAAGGTTCTCTAATCTTTCAGAAGTAGTGACAAGTGCATTTTCAGGAAGACCACACTCCATCAATATGCTGACACTTTTAGATTCATCTGCCATTTCCACCAATGAATTTCGAAGACGACGAGCTTCTCCACTTTCTTCAAGTGTTCCATCAGATTTCATCTGTGTCACTTGGACTTCAGACATCAACTCTGACAATGTAATAGTTAGCACAACTCGTAGTCTTTCTGTCTGCATAAAGTAAGAGAAAGAACACTGCAAAACAGAAATGTGATTAAATTCTAGCAACGTGAAAGGAAAATAAAGTTGGGGCCATAAGAAAACATATCACAAAAAGTCAATGAACATACCCGAACAAGTATCTGAAGCCCAATAACAGCCCTCTTCCTAATATTTTCATTCCGGAAAACTGCAAGCCGGAGAAGATGGAAAGCAACTTGCTTTATAAAACGATCATTTTCCCTTGCCATTAGCGTTGCTCCATGAAGCTCAAAGACACTATTAATCACTGGAAAGAGGGCTTTCCAGAAAACCAGTGGTTGATTACGCGAAAAGACACTCATAAATATAGATGTAATGCAATCAAGTTTCCCATAGTCAGTGGCAATCGTATGAGAACCTACAGTCCCCGAAAATTTATTTAATATTTCTAAAACTTGAAGACTGACAGCAGCACTCAGGTTTTCTTCCCAAAGTTCCTGAGGTATAAAGGAAAAGACAACAAAAAGGAAGACATGAACAAAGGAATCCCAGATAGAAATGGAACAAACACCATATTTAATTCAGTATGCTTTGAGCAATAATTAAAGAAGCCACAATAATCCTGAAAGCATATTTTCCACAATCAGATAAAAATATGCAGAGGTATCAGATGTCTAAGAGTATTTTTACACCTCAAAATAAATGTTTGCATGATAAATGATTGATCATATCATCATCATCACCGGAAAATAAAAAAATTAACTAGAGAAGTTCAAATAGTAATGCCATCTATCTCCAAGAATACGCCCTACCAGTTTTTGCCTTAATATTGGGTGCAAAGATTCTCTTAATGCTTGGGTTGAAGCTCCGATTCTGGACGATTGTGCCTGAGCAAGAGCTTCCCTCAAGGAATATGGTTGACTAGGTGAGCTTAGTTGGGAGTTGACTCTCTGCCAGAAATACCCATTTTCAGGTGTCCCCTGAGGCTGCATTAGTCAAGCATTTTTCAGACGTTAAGGGGCAAAAGATACAAACTTGTGACTGAATATGCCTAAAAAATAATTATACTGAAAAGGTAAAACATACTCCAACTTCTTGACGTGCAGCCTCCGACAGATAGTGGTTAATTGCAGGGGAAAGTCTCTCAGAATACTTTGGGGATATGGGTTTATCTCCTAGTGTGCTGCGAGAACTACTGCCAATAAGCATACCATCATCGGGTTTTCTGTGCTGCTCAATGTCATTTAAAATTAAAATACTGACTAAAATGTCGCTGAGCAAAAGAAACGCGTGATAAACATAAAATATGAATCCATAAAAACAAATTAAAGGGAATGAATCATTATGATGTTATTGACTTGAGAGTGGAAGTCAAATAATTTTACCATTTGAAACATTCACATAGCATTAAAATCTTAAAGTTATCTCAACTCACCAAGGAAACAACTAATTGGGGTTCCTTAAAACATTCCCTCTTTTATGTAAACCATGACCTAGAATACATTTTGATCGCTGAATTGCGTCATTAAGTTGTACTTTAATTTTTGTAATATGTAAAGGAAATGAAACAACAACTTACAAAAAAAAAAGAGAGGCTTCCATCCATGAAGTAAATCTTAAAAAAGATCCTGAGAGATGGTCATAGGGCCATTATATGTCAACTTTTACCATGTCAAAAACAGAAAATGCAGTTACACACCCATATATGGTTTGCGTGAAATGTTGCTTACCCACCACTTCACCCAAGGGGTGGGATTCCTTTAAAATATGATGTCTCCCTTCACAAAGAATAAATGCCAGCAGTTTGGAAGGCCTGGGAGGGGAGAAAGAGAGAACTACGAGTCCAACCATTGGTGTTATAAGAGATAAGCTTAGAGGAATGTTCGGCATTCCATGTATGGTTTTTTCTAGGGGGAGACACTATGACATGCTCTGTTAATGATGGATGGCAGACAGCAAGCAACAGCCATTCAAAAGGCAGAAAGAGAGTATTACTAAACAACCTACGCAACACACAGCGATGAATGTTTCTTCTTATGACAATTCCTGGGGGGGTGTTTGTAATACCATTATCATGTCAATACTCAGTGAACTCATGCCAAACTACCGAGAAATAACTGCAATAGAAAGTATAATGTAACCTCAAAACTACTCAAGCTCTCCTCCAAGAGTTTGAAAAATAATCTGGTACGAGCAATGCTTTGCTGCCAAGCCTTGATAAGAGAGGCATCATCCAAGTTGCGTATGATTTGCAAGATAATAATCAACACTTCACGCTTTTCAATTGAACTCAGATTATAGAAGACAGGCATTTCGTCCAGAATCTGCATTAATAGATCAACAAATAAGGAAATGATATAACAAACTGAAAGCAAGTATAAAAAGCACCCTGATACACAACTGTGGAAACCTTCCTTTGATGCACTATATGCAACATCAAAACAAGGGAAAAGTAACCAAGTCTGTCTGCAATATGACGAAAAAAGACAGACCATCCCTCAGTATAAAATGTTTTTAACTAAATCTAGATTTCATAGAAGGGTCAGCAGCATTATTCAGGGCGTTAGCCCAGGAGTAAGGTGGATTTTCCGACCCAATCTCTTTATGAACCGACAGAAAGTTGTTCTGATCTCAATTTGCACCTTTCACCAACTCAAGTCATATTAGTTTCTGTCAATATTTGCTGGCATTTCTTTATTATTAGTATTGAGATGGAGAAATTATAGTGGAGAACAAGATATTACAAACAATTTAAGATATATTGTACAGTCTGCATAACTGTATTTACTGCAGAAGGGACAAAATGAAAGGAGAAGGGGGAAAAGTGTGATCAAGCTAGAGAGTACAATAGGATTTGCACAAGTATAAACCAGACTATTTATAATTAGCAATCAGAAAACAGAAGGATTCAATAAGTTCAACACATTAAACTCTACACCCAAATCATTAAAATTACAAAAAATAAAATAGGGATCATAACATAGTGCAGGTAAACTTTCAAAAAGAAAAACATAATGTGGGTAATATTCTGGTCCTAACCAAAACTACAACATTTACTCCAAGCCTAACTCATAATGGGAAAAGCAACATTAACTAACTTCCCACATATTATAAGTGAACAAATTTCATGTGATATATAATATGTGAAAGCAAAGCAATGAAGATGACGGATGACAGTACTAATGAACTGCTGCTAAGCGTTTGATAGGATTTTTTCATAAAGGCCTTTGTTTCTACAATCATAACATCATTAGCATAATGTATTATTGTACTTTCATGTGCAAAAACTTTAGAAATAGTGAGTCCTACAATAGAAATAGCCCCTGTTTGGTATCGATTTAAATTAGATTTTAATCTAAATCAAAGTCAAACAATCAATATTAACCACATATTTTATGGGTCCCACAACTTTTTAACCACGCATTTCAAAAACTTTTATCAAAATCTACTAAAAATCTAATTTTAATCCACACCAAACAGGGGATTAATCACATAAAATATAATTGTTTTTAAGGTTAGACAGCATCGACAAATCAAAATGTACCAAATTCACTATGGAGAACATTGACAAGCATAATAATTACACACCTGGCCTACAAGGGGAAAGTATAATTGAGCTATATATAATTTATCTTCAGGCTTCTGGTAACGAACATCAAACTCGTGCTTGCACAAAAGAACCACCAAAGTTCTAGCTGCCTACAAATACCCAAAAGGAAATGTTGCAAGAATTTTGGGAAACAACTCGGATTAGCCAATTCAGGAAATCAAATGAAAGATGTTCACCCAGTGTAGAAAACACTGCTGTGAGATATAGATGTGTCATGCAGTATGGCACTCACCTTGGCCCTCATAGATAAATCATCATGATCCCAAGTAACGAAAATCTCTTGTATTAGAACAGATGAAAGATAGTTCCTGCAATAAAGAAAAATACCAGGTCAGACACATCTGAACATCTCCCGAAGAAGTATGAGGTCAAACTGTAGTTATTAAACCCAGGATAAGTACCACATGAAAGACATATCTGCACTCATCGAAATCGATTGACTCATTAAAATTATGCAACATAAACATCACTTTAAAAGAAAAAGGGGGACATGAAAACATAAAAAGAACCAATAAACGTGTGAGCTATGGAGCTCAGAGAGACCATTAATGGCTTGATTCAACTTATTAGCCACACATCCGAAAGGAACATTGCAGAAGAACTAGAATACTAACACTACTCCCATGACCATCTTGATTTTCATGATTTCTTTCTTTAAAAATAAATTTGAAATGTAAAGGAGAACATAGATCTGTTTTAGGTTGATTTGAATGAGATATTAATCTACTGTAAGATAACTAGTAGTCTGATATCCACACTTCATTGGTAATAAGTGAAGATCTACAAGCCAGCGCATTGCTACCCATGGTGGTAGCAGATGAATGGGGAGCGGATAATTTACTGAAAGACAAACTTGTGTTTCCTAAAAGTTTCCCAAATAAACAAGATATATACCAATAAACAAGAATCACGATCTTGGGATGAAGCATGGTTTAAACCCCCCAATTGAAACCCGCCTAAATGTCTGCCTCAGAGTGAGGCATGCAAAAAACATTTCATTGGTGATAAGTGAAGATCTTGCGACAAACAAGAATCGTGATCTTGAGTGAAGCATTGTTTTAAAAACCCAATTGACATCTGCCTAAAGGTCCACCTCAGAGTGAGGTGTGCAAAAAAGGCCTCATGGCACTGATTATGAGACAGTTTTTGAAGGTGTACGCCTCAGTTGTATGAGACACACACCTCATAGCTTGTGGCTCATAAAACATAAAAATTCTTAGCGACCTATTCTGAAAATAATCTATTGCCCACTAAAACGTAAATAAATTGCATTTTTCATAGACCAACTTTAGGAATAGTCCACTGCCTCTATGACTAAAATAGTATTTTCTTTATAGATATTTCCTTTCGAGTATTTAGAAAATGATGAATTGTTCTATTATGAAATTTGAAGATTGTTTATGATGTATTATGAGCTTATTTGGAATTTTAATATATTTTTATTGGCATTTTTTTAGTTTATTATAAGGCTTAAGCCTCAAAAAGTCTAGAGGCTTATGCCTCATCCTAAATACCCGATTATGCCTTTTTATACATTTGGGTGAAGAATGATGCAAAATCATACACATGAATTGATGAATAATTTCAACAAACAGGAACTATATAATAAGAGCAGTAAAAATGGTACACAAAGTAATCATTTAGAAGGCATGATGATAAAGAATTACAATCAATACCTATCTGAAGGATCTCGTCCAGGCATTTCCACAAAAAGATCGTGGTCACATAAAATTTGCAAAAATGTTAGCTTGCAGTCATGCAGCGCTGATTGGCACACCCCAGAAAACTTGTCTAGGTACAAGGACACCTAAAACAGAACAAAACAGTTCCACTCATTGCCAAACTGCAAAATGTAAAACTAGGGAAAAGAAGTAAAGAATGAAAGAGATGGCTCAGTGCTCTAGTTTGAGAAAAGAAAACATTAACAAATTAAAAACAAAGAAAAACGAAAGTACAAAATGAGCAGCGCAACATAAAATTTGGATACAGCATGTTATGGATTCGATGATTAATCCGTACTATAAGCTATGATGCTCAGATTCGGGTACGAATATTGGGTACAGGTATGTCTCTAAGTGCCGAATCCATTATTTTCTAAAATATAAGATATGGGATATGGCTAAAAAGAGTCCAAATTTTGGACACGGGTACGTGGGTATGTTTTTCAAACTTCAATTTTTTTTTT